CAGCCATTGTGTCCCACTCTCAGAGAGCAGCGTGTGGGTGGAGGACAGACTGGCTCTCCAAAGTGAAAGCCTGACATGGATGTATTGGCCGGGGGTGTATCCTCTCACCCAGCTAAACTATCATCCACCTGCAATTCCCGGCTGCCACATGCATCCTTCTACGAGAGGGGAGCAGAGAGAACATGCACTGAGAGTACTTGTGGCACTCGGATGCCTGTTTAACTCTTGAGGAAGCTAATCATTGGATTGAGGTACTGAGGATGATGGGCTACAGGCTTTCGGCGTGGGGTGGGGTGGGGTGGGAGAGCTTGCTTTAAATGCAAATCCCTTTCTTATAAAAATCGGTTCCATTTAAAAGGATTTCTGGGAAACGATCCACATTTCCACGGCAGGGGAGACAGTCAGCAAGAGAAAACAGCATAGCAGCAGTCAAACATCAAGGAGACAGAGGATGTGGAAAGAGTAGCAAAAGAAAAGGCTACATATCAGTCTGAAAGAAGGGATCGCGGCTCAAGTAAGGCCTCTTGGATAAAAACATCCTTTCTGCATTTGAGACACTTTGTGGGCTTCAGTTTAGATTGTGAAGCATTAAGCTATTCAGTGTAGTCAGTCAGCAGGCGACAGAATACATAAAAGAGGGCCTGTGTACAAAATGTGATCACCCCCCCCCAACCCAACCACTTCTTGAGAGTTTGAGAGCTGATCTCAGCCTTGCCTTTCACTTCGAAGTGGTCATCAACAGAAACTACAAAAAGGAGCCCTGAATGTTCTGTTTCATTCCTTATTAAGAAGCACGTTACATTCGTGTTGCTGGCTGGATCTGAGCGACTGGCGACTGTTGCAGTATTTGTTTAAAGTGAGTTACAGATGTGCGTTGGCCTACATACTGTAGCTCCTTCCACCCAACCACAACAAATCAACAGTGGTGCACAGACATTTCTGTGAGAAACCGTGGGCACCATTTTTCAATGGCACACCAGCTTTTATGATGATGTATTATGGAAATTTTTCACAGTATGTTTCAAATCATGTTACTCTAACCGCAACAAGAATACCTCCCACTTTGCCCACAGTCCGTGTACTTGTAGCTGTGTGAGGTAAGTGTTCAGAAGTGCCGAACAAAAGAGGTTAATGGCACCTCTGCTGTATAGGGTTGCTTCGGTTTGAGAGAGAGTAACATGGAACAAGCCAAAGCTGTGTGTCAAGTCCGCAAGACAAAGGATGACACTTCACCCCTATTTCTATCAGCGTAAGGTAAAAAGTGCTGTGGATATTTTTCAACCCAACAACAAGACAGGCCCACTCTAAACAAAATACCCCGGCAGCTGCACTCTCTCATTGCAAACTGTGTGAAAGGACGACTTGCAAAAAGGAGGCAACAGCTGCAGCAGCATACCATACTGCAGCAGATACACTCCCCATCGCCAGCGAAAAGAAAGATGGAGTTACAAAGCTGTTAGAAACTATAAGCTCTGTACTAACAATAAACTATTTGGCTGAAGAGACACTGCCTTATCTTGACAGTGATGTTTAGCAGACAATCAACTTCAGCTGTTCCTCCACCACAGCTCATTTGTGCGTGTTCAATCAGCACAACAAAAAATTGGAAAATGGTGAAAAATTCCGTAAAAATGTGTTTGAATAATTCACATTCTTTTGCATTTTCTCAGGCAGATATTCTACGGATGGAAAGCCAGTGGTGGAAAGTAACCGAGTACATTTACTCAAGTACAGTAGTGAAGTAGTGTTTTGAGGTATCTGTACTTTTCTTGAGTATTTTCATTTTGTGCTATGTCATACTTTGACTTCACCACATTTTAGAGGCAAATATTGTACTTTTTACTCCACTACAATTATTTTATAACTTTAGTTACTTTTCAGAACTAGATTAATAAATAACCAAAGTATAATCAGACTTCACTGGCCTCTGGTGGAAAATTCACAAGCAACTCAGAAGTATGTAAAGTACTTCAAATTCTAAGCATATAAGCTGTTAAAACTAGCTTCCCTTTACTTGTGATGTACACAATGATGCATTAGTAATTATAATTCAATAATACAATATTCATTCATGTGAAATGGGCCATTCTGCATAATGAGTACTTTTAATACTTTAACTATGTTTTCATGATAATACTTTTGTACATTAAGTAACATCTTGAATGCAGGACTTTTGCTTGTTACAGAATCTTTTTAGATTTTGCTACTTTTATTGTGGACACTTTATCACTGATATTAAGAGTGATTGTCCATAATCGTGTTATAGACAATCACACAGGTGATTTGGTAGCTCTAGCTATTAAAAATACCTTCAAACCACTGAAATTGAACAGAACAGAATATCATCCACCAGGGTGGAAACTTGTCTGGCATGTCTAGATGAGGGGAAGCAAGTTTGCATCACTTCTGACAACGGCATTAATATCAGTAGAGCTATGGACCTAAACAGGTGGAAGAGACTGCGGTGCTTCTGTCACTGGCTGTGTGTTGCTTTTGGTAAGAGAGAAACTGTATGTGTGAGGAATAAAGATGGGCACAGAGATAAACAATATGGGTAGTTTGATGGGAGGAGAGCGAACCTTTGCAGCTTGCATTTATAAAGTCTAATATGTTTTAAAATCCTAATAGGGCAACATTAGTAATAAACATTAATACTGGCTGAACAGCTTGAGGCCTTGGTTATACTTTTCTGTACAATAAAGATTTTTTAAGTGCGAGGTGCAGCAGAGCGTTGTGGCTGTGACAACATGTCTGCATTCTCATTACTAATTTCTACTCAAAGCTTGTTATTAATTTCCAGCCAAAGTAATTATGGGATCAAGAGGCCTCTGTTTAAATCTTCATGGAGACAGAAGGAAGAGCGATCCATGTGCTGAACAAACAAGTGGTGTGTAAATGAGTTATTTATCCTTTAGCTGGAAAAGGAGCAGAGATTTGGCAGTTGTGAGCGTCATCTGCCCTCCCTTCAGTTCATTACAGAATTCCCCAGCAGGTCGGGAACGAGGAGGAGGATGATCCCAAGTACGCTGGCAAAGGAGCGAGCCATTACCCAGGACATCAGACATCTTGTTCACACTTGGGAGGACACAGATGTTCTGGAGTCAGCCGACAAGGCGCTGCGACCCCTCAGCTACACTCCTGTTCTTCATACTGTGCCTGTGCTGCACCTGTTTGGAACCAGTGTCTTGTAAACATCAGCAGGGGGAAAACAGAGCCAAGTCAAGTGAGACCATTCTAGGGAATGTTCCAAGAGACATGTTTCATCATTTTGCCAGCAAAAACCTGCTGGACATTGCTCCACACACACACACACACACACAGATCTGTGTTTAAGTATCTCCTATGTCCCAAAAAAAGACTGCTGAACAGGTTTTCTTCTGATGTGCAGCAGCTGTGACTCCTGCAGCCAGAGTTTGGAGGAGAAGCTACGACTCCACACAGATGGCCATGATCCCTGGCTTCCTAAAAACTCTGACCAAAATTAATTGTCTGGGAAAATCCCAAACTCCTCTCCTGAAATACAATGTCAACAACATTCCTACCGCAAGAATTCAGACTCTCTGTAGCTGCACTATCTTCTTGCGATGGATGTGTGCGTGCACGAGCAGCAAATCCAAACTAGAAACCATGGTTGATTGTTTGACTGCCCCACACATACTACATCCATGTGTTTGTATAGTCTATTGTACAAGTTGCACTGTAAGTCCCTGTAAAAAGAAAGATCAGCGGATACATAGTGTCAAACCAGAGGCAGCTGCTAACAGATCTGTGTTCCTGCTACAAAGTATGTGAAGTCATGCATGTTCATGGTGTTCCTGTTTACAACAACCAGTGACTGGAATGAGAAAACTGGAGGGAAAGTTTTATTGTTAAGGTGCTCATTGTTTCTTTTTTTTTTTTAACTTGCAAAACACCTCACAGTACATGTTGTACAAGTGTGTACTACTATATATGGGTCGATTTTTCTGTGCTTGATGATAACTGATAACGGGCAATTAAATCTAAAAGAAACATGCCGATTGTGCCACAGTGAAGCAACATTACTTTCAGCAGCTGTGTACAAGCCAACCAGAAAAATGCACGATGAATAAAGAGCAGTCTTCCCAGGAGCATAGCGGCATGCAGCCCACACAGCATTAAGGTGCTTTTAAAAACCATGTGTTTCAACAGCTCCTGAAGAAACCCAGCTTTGATTCTTTGATTCTCTCCTACACATAAGTCTGTTGTTTTTTTTTATCAGTGGTTTTACAGAAAGTTCATTAATCCAGTTTCAGTGAACTTGCTGAAACTTCCCTAAAAGACAGAGACATAGGGAGAGATCACAGATAAACAAAAACCCAGCCTTGTGATCTGTGTAGTGTGGCTCACTGAAGCTCAGTCCCCCCACCCCTGTGTTAAGCCCTGCCACCATGGCCCTGCCGTTATGCTGATGATGCCAAACTATAATCACCTGGAAAACCAGATCATCTGAAACTATTATTTCCTTTTAACACTATGGTTCTGGTGTATTTGTCCCTCCAGGGTTCACAAAGCTGCTCCGCTGCCATAAAATATATCTTATGATCCAGATTATATATTTGCTACAAAGAGTTAGATGTTTTTCCTCAAACTAGGAGTGAGAGTAAGATGGTTAAGGACCCCCCAGGAAGCAGTGCGAGTGAAAACTGATACTGACTGGGCCTTCATGAAGACATCAGGAGGGTAAAGCCAATATTTATGTTATTCCCAAGGCAACACTGTAAAAAAAAGTCTGTAAAATAAACTAAATAAGCCACCGCCTTAAGACGAACACACGCACGTCCTGGACATTTCCACACTGGCATCCCAGTATCTAATACTTCTAATTAGTGCTGTTGCAGCCATAATATTCCTCTGACTATTCCCAGAAGACTGAGGGTGTTTGCTAATCACTTTTTGCACTCCTCGTTTCTCCAAGGAACAGGGTATAATGTTAAATGGACAGCTCATTGAGCCGTGCAGCCCAAAAACCCCAGACTCACCTTCCTCTGCAGAAGCCAAGAGAGCCCAGCGCAGACAGACGCACCCCAGCAGGACGATGCTCCACAGTGTCAGCTCCATGGCGGTGTTACCAAACCGTACAAAATGAACGCACTTCTGTTTTGTCTCGAGTCGAAAATCAATAGGCACTGGCAGCTCGGCTGTGCACTCACTGACCGCAAACCAGTCCGCATTTAAAGTGGACTTCAGTTCAGAGAGCCTCACGCTGTGGTCGGAACACTGCAGTAGAAAATACACTTAAACCGAGTGCATTTTGAGTGTTATTACGCAATGGAAACTTCTCCGTACAGTCCAACTTTGTGTTGTGGTGAAAGTCTAGAGCCAGAAACGAGCCACAGTGTTGCAGCTCCTCTCCCACCTCGGTGCTCTGTCAGCACACCGGGCGCATGGTCCTGACTTGTTGTGTGCTCGGCTTTAATGTGCCCTTTGTGCACCACACCACTTATCCCAGGTTGTCCCCCTTAGCTTAGTGACCGAGCAGGCTGAATCCACAACCATGGCACCTCAACTGCATATCTGTTAGTTGCAGAGATGCTCCTCATTCTCAGTCGTTACATACAGTCTTCCCCATCCTCTCGTCTCGTCATGGTCGGTATACAGTCCGCCCAAATGCTATGTGTCCTCCTTTACCCCCTTCAAGCGCCAGACTGTTTGGCTACAGGAAAAAAATACGAAAGGTGCTGTGGATGTTGCGCGACAGGTCTAGTCTGGCCTGGTTTTACAGGAAAAATCTGACTATAACTGGAAGAGAACGTCCAGTTTGCTCTCTGGATAAGTGAGCGCACTGGACCCACAGCGGATATTTAAAGTTGTGCGTTAAAGGAGCTCGAACATCTGACTACAGTAAGCTGGTCACCGAGCACTTCACAATCACATCAAACCCGGAGTCCAATTGCACCAGCAAGCCCCGCCCACTCCCATTGCCATAACCGTGTCGTCAAGAGCTCGCGATAACATACAAGAGTTCCGGAGAGCGCCTTAGAAATAAAACCCACATTTAGAACCATTGGAACTGGTAAATATTTTAGATACCACAATGAGATCCCAAACCACCACACAGGAACACAAAACTACCTCACAGAGAAGCAAAACAATCACAAAGACATTCAAAACAACCACAGAGTGATCCAAAACTACTGCAAAAGCATGCAAAGCAACCGCACAGACACTCAAAAGCACATACAAGAAGATATAAACTTTTATTTCAGCCCATGTGCTTGTGCATACCCACTAATGGTTTGGACTAGGCTGTATAGTGCCATTCATCCAGTTAAATGCATTGGTCTTATACTGTAGATCCTGGGGCTTCCTACACATTTGTGTCAAATTATTCATATTTTATGTCAAGGCTACTATAGTAGGCCACTGTAGGAAAGGCCCGTGACCAGCCTTCTTGTCTGTAGTTCAAGCAGTGTCTAACCCAATATGGTTTTTCCATTTCAAGCGCCCTGCAATAAAAAACTTTATTTTGACAACAGATTCTCACAATTTCCGGTGTTATTTGTATTATTCTCACCTTCTTGATTACAAAATAACAATTAAGTCTGTCTCCTCTGCAAGTACTGACTTGCTATTTCAGTAAACTGTGTTGAGTAAAAGGTGTACAGTGCGTGTCCATTACGGCCACACGCAGGTCGGCCTGTGTCTGTTCTACAATATGACTGATGTAACACTGTCTCATTTAGGGCATATCAGAAGGACAGAGGTTCTGACACAGCTATCACACATTTATGCCAACTCACTGGTCAGTTTATCACTTTTACGTTTTAATGACATCTCTTCTCCAACTAGCCACACAGCTTGTTTTAATGAGAGTCATAACATTACAGGTTCTTTATCTCCAGTGAGAGTCATAACATTACAGGTTCTTTACACCAATGCTGCAGTACAGTTTATTTTCTTTTTAAATTAATAGCTGTTTTCAGCAAGGGGGGCTGAATGGAAAGAAAGAAGATCAGGAAAAGACAGCAGCATAAATAAGAGGAAATGCAAATTATAAGTTGAAATGACAAAATGTAAATAACAACATTAGCAATTCAAGCTCACTAACAAGGCCACACTGGTATAATTTTGGCAAGGCAACACTAGTGTGTCTTGCTCTCTTCAGCTCTAATGTCTGTATAGCAGAATAATTTAGTGACTTACATTCAATTTATCCAGTCTAATGACGTTATCACAGGCTAACACATGGTGCAATGCCTTATGTTCTAAAATTTGACATGTCCCAGTAATAAACAAATCCCTGAAGAAGAAATATGAAAATGTACAAATTAGACTATGAGATCCGTATGGCACAAAGACTCTTATTCTTCTAGTATTGCTTTACTCAGCATCAGTACTTGTTTTACCTAAGTATAAACTGTGAAGGGTAAAGAAAAGAGAACTGAGATCAGTTTATAGAAACAGTACAGTTACAGTACATGATTTTTCTTTTGTTTATAAAATATTTGCACTACTTTGGTTACTGTATCTTTGTGCTGAAAATATTGTGTGACCATTAATTATAAGTAAATTCAGTGAGAAAGATAAAAAGCACATCACAAATCTATGCTTTTTGTGCGCCATTTCTATAATAACTGTATTTTTGTTGTGTTCTTTTGTTCACATGTTAGCGTGCTATATAATCAAAACAGCAGGCATAATGATGACACTTAAGGTTTTCAGCTCGGCACAGCTGTCATGCCTTCTGTATGCGGTTTATGAAATTCTTCTTCATGAGCTTTAATAGGCAGCATTGACAAGCTGCAGTGGGAACTTCAACAGGGAACAAGACTGAGAATAGTCCCTGGGAGGTTCCATTTTTGTACTTCACACTGAGTCATTAATTTGTAGAAGCTTTTCTTTTTCTTTAAATGGAGGACTGAAAAGCTTTGGGATCAGAATGACCTCTCAGTGGGAAAAACAAGGCAATTTGTCAGTGGTTTGTTCACACTGTATTTTCAGACATCTGAGTGCCCTCCCAGTTTTATGGATCATCACAAATTGTTGAAAATCTGTAAGAAGACACAATCTGGTAAGTTTGGGACAGCCTTTCCTACTACAGGAGGGAAACATAGAAGGAGGGGAAGCAATAAAAGAGATCCTGGAGCAAATATTTGGAAAAACTTTATGGAACTTATAGTTGTAACTAAAACTTCAAATCTTTTCATTCCTGAATGGTGTGCACTGATAGAATTCTAATGGACTGTCACATAATTTGGTACAGACATGTTCCCTTCTTAATGACTTTGGTGACCTTAGCGTCACTATCAGATCAAAATTTTAATTTGTTGAGCAGCTTAATAACTGCCAAACCGATGACATTCCCATCAGTCTTAGCTGAACAGTACTTATTAGAAAATGCTGCTGATGTACTAACAGAGACTGTGAACATGGTAAACACACCTGCTGCTAAAGATCAGCCTGTTAGCATTGCCATTGTCAGCATAGCATTTAGTTCGAAGCACCGCCTTAGTATTGTCTTTTCTGAGCTTCTTGCAGAACAGTGCAGGAACTCCTTTCTTGACTTGTCACAGAATCAACAGAGAAGCTGTCACTTTACCAACAAAACAGATGCCCTGCTTCAGGATCAGTAGTTTTCCTCTTCCTTAAACGTGTATATGATATTTTATGTATTATTGCAGTAGGCTCATGGATGTGTTAAACCAGTTAAAAATTCTAATGCTGGCATATTCCTTGACACCAGCGACATTTGAGATCATATGTGTTCACTGCTTCTACAAAATGAAAGCATACTTTGGGTTTGGTGAATGGGTTAAATTCCGCCCTTGCAGCTTGATAAACCTAAATGCACTGTTTTAAAATTAAACTAATATTTTTGTCCTTTTTCAATTAATTTCAAGGTTGATAAACATTACCTGCAGAATGTAACATTCCTTGCAAGCCAGTATGCCGGATTTTAATAAGAGGAATAGGCCTAGAGTTAACATTTTTCAACAGAATATGCCAAAACACTTCTCACAATCAATTTCATTAAATTCTCACATAATATACAAATATCTCCTGAAGCAGGGTTGGCTGCAGCGTGGTGTTTGATCAAGCTTTTAAGCATCAGACGAACCCATCAGGTTTAATCCAACATCAGTGGTATTATGTTTGTCTATAAACTTAAGAAGGCACCTCTTTTCAAGGCGGCATAAGGCGGCATCTTAACACTAAAACCCTGCACCACACCCTGTCAGGCACCAATCTGTGCATCAGTGGATTATCTGATCCTTATGCAGGCAGTGGGATATGTGGATAAAGGAGCAGTGATGCAGTCAAAGTGGCATCATCTGGATTTACTAACACAGCACAAGATACAAACAAAGAGTTGAACTCTAGTTTTCCTACACAAACAGTTTGATGGGTGCCAGCTGGGACCTCATGGGTGGTGGAGTGAGGAAAAAAACAGAGGGAACAAAGAATAAAACAAGGAGAAGAAGCAGCAGGCTGAAATGAATAATACAATATGAACACTGAAAGGATCTCTGTGTTTGATCCTCTACCTCAGGCTGTAGCTGCCATGCTGTAATCAAGGTAACAAACGATGGTGACAACCTCCTGTGTGTAGCCAAAAGTGTGTTGGCAAAGTCTATAACTAGCAGTAGCTCTTTTTTGAAATCTCTAGATAAAGCATTCATTGGAAAGGTACAGAAAAATGTAATAAATTAGAACGTATATGGGCTAATCTACTTAGGCTAATGTCATAATACCAAAATCTGGAGTGTGAACTGCAGGTCAGCACTGAAAGTAAAGATTCAGGGATGACTGAACTGGCTTTGAGTTGTGCAATAAGTCGTGTTGTACTGAAATGCTTCCCTGCTTGCCCGTTAAATGTGACTTTCAATCTCTGTCTCTGTTAAACAAGTAGTTACTCTTGTACGCATACATCATTTTATATATTCCCTTGTATATATAACTTCTTGCCTTTGTCTGCTTACCCTGACCTTGAACGCACCTTGAATAATAGCACATGCTTGTAATGAACCTGTTTAATATGAGACATTGTGCACCCTTTACCACATACAGAGAGGAGACCACTCATCTATCCCGGCTTTTCCTTTAGTTTGTCACCCGTATTTCTATGAGCTATACTGAGGTGGCTTTGAACACTTTGGGATAGTTCGCAGTTGAGTCTTCTTTCCAAAACTCACAAGACACACATGTCAACTGTTCTTTCATCCAAATCCAGCCCCGTCACTGCAGCTCTCCACCCCAGTGACAGGCATAAGGAGGTATTACTCCATTATCACCTTGTTGTGAAAGAGGCTGAGAATAATTGATGGCGGCAGAGTGCTAGGAGTCACTCGCAATGCGTCGTCTTGATCTCACTAGGAGTTTTGTGAGGTCAAACTGTCTGACAATTATCCTGCTAATTTCACTCTGCTAGCATCCTCATTTCTCAGTGTTTAGTGGGGAATTTGATTCTAATCACTGGCTTGATTTAATTATTCCATTTGGAAGCATTAATTTCTCATTCCTTAGTTTATAATGACTGGCAGTATGATTACGATGGATTGTGTGTACATCTGTGGCACATGAGGTTTCACCATGAATCACTTCAGTGATTAAAGAGAGAGTTTATTCTGTGAGTCAGTTACTTAATCAGAAGGAAATTTCAAGTTCTAATTTTGAGGATGCCACATTACTTTGGCAAAATTATCAATAATCCATCTGCCAGGCATCTGCCTTGTTCTGGGATCCAACTGTACATTTTCCCACCAGCTTGTGGGTTGATGCATTATGTACCCTGGTGTATGGTGTAGACACCTGTTTAATGGCTGATAAGAAGATAAGAGAAGCATGAGGGCTGGAGTAACCTAATGCTTTAAGATCTGACCAGTTTGCAAGTTTAAATCCTGTTCATGACCTGTGATGAATGTCCTCCCCTCTCTCAGTCTGAACACTGTGGTCAGTCAGGTTATGCTTTGAGTTTTGAAGTTTAATACCTCTGAACAGAATACATGGCTGATAAAATGCATAAACAAGTGAATATCATTCATTTAAAACCTCTTAAGCATAACTGTTTCCCATTTTCTTATTTCACACTGTCTGAGCTGGTATTTCTAGTGCTGATATAAATATTTAAAGGAACAATATGTAACTCTGACAGTATAAACTGAGTGAAGTCAGAAATAGAAAGCCAAATTAAATCTTAACCAATCGGACTTTATAATATAAGGCTGTTTTACCCTTTGTTAATACACAACATGAGAAAACCGTAACCTAACATCATTAGAAAACATAACAAAATTACAGTAGATGCAGGTGCCTGGGCATTAAACAGGTCAAACGTTATGTTTTTGGTAGCTGGATTAACCTTTTGTTTCAATTTACATCACAGATTGTGCCTTTATAAAATGTACAGATGATGAAATATGCTACAAACCAGAGGCAAACACAGGGATATAGGACTATGGCTGGCATACACACAGTAAAAATGTCCACACACACTATGCCATAACATGCAATCAAATGAACAGATCCTCATTGTGAGATTTTCTAAAAGAGAAAATGGTTTCCCTGATGAGAGAGAGGGAGGTGAGGGAGCAAGCAACACATAAGAGCCAGTAAGTGTGTGCAAAACGCAGTTGAGAGGAGCTTGTGTAAGCTGAAAGTGGAGAATGAGTGCCCTCCCCTGGCCACACTGTCGTTTCACGTAGTCCTCACCTGTGGGTTTGTGGGACATTAAATCATTACATAACATAAACAAACAGACAAACAAAAACAGGCTGCTGAGTCCGTTGTCAGAAAGCATTTTTAAATTCATTTTATTTTATAGCTAATTTACAACAAGCGCTTCACTGAACTGGAACATTTTATTTTGCTTGATATTGTCATTGTTAAATAGATTTTTCTGCATCAGTTGATTTTGTTATAACTTTCAGTCTTTTCTGTAAAAATTCATATATTTTATAAGGAATATCACACTATGATACGGATGGCTGAGAGAGATATTAAGAAATACACTGAACCCTCAAATAAAGAAACTGAAAACATATTGTTCCATTTATGGATGTGTTGTCATGTTCTCATTGTGTAAATGTAAATGGATATGCTGATATGCGCGTGTGTGTGTGTGTGTGTGTGTGTGTGTGTGTGTGTGTGTGTGTGTGTGTGTTGCCCACCCGGAGTTGTTTCTGTGTTTGGGCATTTAAACTGGTCTGTGGCTCTGATGGATTCTTTACTTGCATCAGTTCAGCAGTGTGCATGGCTAAATCTGAAGCCACGTAGCACTCCAACGTCTCCGTTATATTTACAGCATTTCTGGCCAAGACCCAAACGCTCTCTCCATGTGGAAAAAATACAAAAATATACAGACTTGAGATGGAACCAGTGACAGTTTTAAATAAATAATAAATAAAATAAAAATACCGATACTTGTCATTCACAAGCTTCAGTTGTGAGCAAAAAAACCCCAAAAAAACAAAAAAAGAAAAGTAAAGAAATGAAATGAACGGTCGATCAATACTTCCACGTTCACTCTTGTAATTCAGGACAAATTATAAGTAAAAACAAACACATGCTCAA